GCCTTGACCTCCCAGGGCATTTTGATCCTCCCACCTCAGTCTTCTGAGTAGCCTGGATTACAGGCATGAACCACCATGCCCAGCTAATTTATGTATCTTTTGTACAGATGGGGTTTCACTGTTATTTCCAGGCTGGTTTCAAATTCCTGGGCTCAAGAGATCCACCCACCTTGGCCTCCCAAAGTCTTAAGTTTACAGGTGTGATCCAGTGCCCCTGGACTGATGGATGCATACAATCATCATGGCACGTGTATACCAATGTAACACACCTGCACATTCTGCACATGTACCCCAGAACTTAAAGTATATTTTTAAAAAAGAATATAGTTGCACAGTTGATCACATATTTGCTTGTTATTTAAATATAACATAAAAATTTTATTCAACTTTTTTTTCTATCAGTAAAGATTTTATCAAAAAATACATAGGTTTTTCCAAGTATTTACCTAAATGAAGCAACTTCTATGGTGTTCCATTGATGCTCAACATGACCTATTTCCAAGTTTTTTTTAGCATAAATATTTTAACACTGAAATATGAGGATATTTAAAACTTTTAATACTATAAGCATTACACATGTCTATGTCCTGAATGGTATTGCCTAGGTTTTCTTCTAGGGTTTTCATGGTGTTAGGTCTTCTGTTTAAATCTTTAACCCAACTGGAGTTAATTTTTGTATAAGATGTAAGGAAGGGATCCAGTTTCACCTTTCTGCATATGGCTAGCCAGTTTTCCCGACATCATTTATTACATAGGGAATCCTTTCCCCATTCCTTTTGTCAGGTTTGTCAAATAACACATGGTTGTAGATGTGTAGTGTTGTTTCTGAGGCTTCTTGGTGTATACATACAATATATATTATACATATGTATGTTACTTGGTATAATATATAATTATTTTTTGAAATGGAATCCGGGTGATAGGTGTGTGCTCTGAGGAACACACGTGTGTTCCAGGGGTTATATGAGTGTGACAGGTGTTGGGTTAGTCTAACAGTGTCACCTGTGCATTCTGGGTGATATGTGCACTCCAAATCTGATGCTGTCATGGGTATTCTGGGCATTACATGTGTGCTCTGAGACAAGAATGTTAGTCTGTCATGGGCCTTCTGAGTGATATGTGTGCACTCTGAATCTGATGGTATCATGAGCATTCCAGGTAATATATTTGTGCTCTTAGGGCCACATGCATATTCCAGGGGTTATATGAGTGTGATGGGTGTTGTGTTAGTCTGCATCACAGGCATTTTGGGTGATATGTGTGTGCTCTGAATGCAACGGTGTCTCAGGTGTTCCGGGGGTTCTGTGCACTCTGAGGGACACATCTGCATCCCAGGGTTGGATCTGCATAGCGGCTGCCACATTTTCCTGACAGGTGTCACATCTGTATAACGGGTGCTAACACCAGTGCCACAAGATAGAGCATAATTGGTATTAAGAGGGTTATCATCAGTGTGGCGGGTGCTCTATTTGCTCTCCTGTGGCTGCATTTCTGTTCCAAGCCTGAGGCTTGGTCCTGTGTTCACCTTGCCTCAGGTGCGGAGGAAGAACCTCAGCTGCACTGGTTTCACCAGGCTTTTGGGTTTCTAATTTTTCACAGGAAGGGTTTCTGCCCCTTAGGAGTCAAGGCAGCAAAGATGAAGGATTTTACTCACTATGGGTGTGGGCTCCAGGTGTCCCAAAGCGAGGGGTGTCCCCCAGTCTGTGCGGAAGACACGCAGCTCCTACCCCCATAGGGTGCCTGCAAGAAGGAAGTGGAGGGATGCTGAGGCCCCAGAATTAGAAACGCCAGGCTCACTCACACTCTGCTGGCAGCTGAGAACACTGCAGGGCCCTTGTGCTCATGGCTCTAGCAGTGGACACGTGCCCTCTGGTGGTCATCCCACTGCATCACTTAAAATCAGAGCTCAGAGTGTTCAGCGCCATCATTCTGGAAATGCAAACTGACACAGAGCCCACTAGCCCGTGAGTTTGTAAAAAGAAAATAGGGACAATTAATTGGAAACCACAGGAAATAAAATGAACATGGATGTACATTTTACAACTTATGCAAAAATTCACTCAACATAGTCTTTTTTAAATTAACAAATTAATTAAATTACTTATTTTGGCAAATGAAATTAATTAAATGTAATGCTAATAATTATTCAAATTAATTTTTGGGGGGAAAAGAGAAAAAAAGAAAAAGAAAGAAAAAGAGAAAGAAAGAGGAAGAGAAAGAGGGAGAGAGAACAGGAATCTTGCTTTATTGCCCAGGCTGGAATGCAGTCTAAAAATCGGTATTGAAAACCTCTTTTATGCCAATAATTGTGCTTAACAATGGAGACAGGAAGGAATAAGGGAGGAAAACAACAAACAAGCAGCCAACCAATATTTCATTTAAACCTGTGAAATGCTATGCAATTACTGAGGACTGATTTACTTCCAATTATATAGTCACTTTTAGAGTAGGTGTGATGTGGTACTGATAAGAATGTATGTTTTGTGGATTTGGGGTGGAGGGTTCCATAAATGTTTATTAAGTTTACTTGTTCCAGGTCTGAGTTAAAGTCCTGGATATCCTTGTTAATTTTCTGTCTCATTGGTCTAATATTGACAATGTGATGTTAAAGTCTCCCACTATTGTGTGTGTGGGAGTCTAAGTCTCTTTATAAGTCATTAAGAACTTGCCTTATGTATCTGGGTGCGCCTGTATTGGGTGCGTGTATATTTAGGATCATTAGCTCTTCTTGTTGCATTGATCCTTTTACCATTATGTAATGGCCTTCTTTGCCTCTTTTGATCTTTGTTGCTTTAAAGTCTATTTTATCAGAGGCAAGAATTGCAACTCCTGCTTTTTATTTATTTATTTATTTGCTCTCTATTTGGTTGGTAAACCTTCCTCCATCCCTTTGTTTTGAGTCTTTTGTGTATCCTTGCATGTGAGATGGGTCTGGATGCAGCATACCAATGAGTTTTGGCTTTTTATCCAATTTGCCTGTCTATGTCTTTTGATTGGGGCATTTAGTCGATTTAAATTTAGGATTAATATATGTGAGTTCAATACTGCCATTTGATGCTAGCTGGCTGTTTTGCCCATTAGTTGATGTAGATTCTTCATTATGTTGATGCTTTTTCCTTTTTGGTGTATTTTTGGAATGGCTGATACCTGTTGTTCCATTCTATGTGTAGTGCTTCTTTCAGAAGCTCTTGTAAAGCAGGCCTGGTGGTGATGAAAATCTGAGTACTTGCTTGTTCACAAAAGATTTTATTTTTCCTTCACTTATGAAGCTTAGTTTGGCTGGATATGAAATTCTGGGTTGAAAGTTCTTTTCTTTAAGGATGTTGAATATTGGCCCCCCCCCCCAACTCTCTCTGGCTTGTAGGGTTTCTGCTGAGAGATCTGCTGTAAGTCTGAAAGGCTTCCCTTTGTGGGTAACCTGACCTTTCTCTCTGGCTACCCTTAGCATTTTCTCCTTCATTTCAACCCTGGTGAATCTGACGATTATGTGCCTTGGGGTTGCTCATATTGAGGAACATCTTTGTGGTATTCTCTGTATTACCTGGAGTTGAATATTGTCCTGCCTTGCTAGGTTCGGAAAGTTCTGATAGCCTTTCATCTGCTTGATCAATTCAATTTTAAAACTTGTGCATACTTCGCAAAGCTCTCATATTGTTTTTCAGCTCCATTAATTCACTTATATTCCTCTCTAAATTGTCTATTCTCGTTAGCACTTCATCAAACCTTTTTTCAAGGTTCTTAGTTTCTTTGCATTGGGTTAGAACATGTTCTTTTAGCTCACAGAAGTTTCTTATTATCTACCTTCTGAAGCCTGATTCTGACAATTCATCACACTCATTCTCCATCAGGCCTTGTTCCCTTGCTGATGAGGAGCTGCGATCCCCTGAAGGAGGAGAGGCCTTCTGATTTCAGATGTTTTCAGCCTTTTTGCACTGGTTTCTTCCCATCTTTGTGGATTTATCGACCTGCCGTCTTTGTAATTGCTGACTTTCAGATTGGTTCTCTAAGTGGACATCCAGCTTATTGGTGGTGATGTTATTTCTGTTTCTTTGTTTTCCTTTGGCGGACACCCCTCCCCCACAGAGCTGGACCTTCCTGGGTTCAGCTGTGCTTGCTGTGAAACTCTCAACCGTCAGCGTTTCCAATTGCTGTTTTTTTGTGGGGGTGAACCAGTCGAACCCGATCGCCTGGCTCCCTGCCTCAGAGCCCTTTTATTCTTTTCCTAATTGAACAGTCGATTCTCTCCCAGGTGCCCCAGTCACCCGCCGAAAAGGTGCCGGGATCTATGCAATTTCCCGTGTGGCGACCGCGTTGACTAAACACTCAACATAGCCTTAAGACTTAAAATGCAAAACTGTCAGAGGCATCTTAGCCACAGTGACTTTATTTTAAATAAAAGCTTTTAAAAAAGTTAAATTTGGGCAGGGTGCAGTGGTTCACATATGTAATCCCAGCACTTTGGAAGGCCAAGGTTGGAAGATCACTTGAGATCAGGAGTTCAAGACCAGCCTGGGAAAATAGTGAGACCCCCACCTCTACAAAAAATATATAAAAATTAGCTGGAGTGGTGGCATGTGCCTGTGGTCCCAGCTGCCCAAGAGGCCAAAGTGGGAGGATCGCTTGAGCCCAGGAGTTTGAGGCTACACTAAGCCAGCCATGATCGCACCACTGCACTCAAGCCTGGGTGACAGAGTGAGACCCTATCTCTGACATAAATACACACACACACACACGCACACAAGTTAAATTTGTTGGATTATGTATTTAGGAGGTTGAACACTTTAGGTTATAAAATGTTTATGGTTGCAGGAACAAGTTAATAATTAAGACCCAAAACTCATAAAAATATACCAGTACTTTAAGAACTAAAAAGCAGTGTTAGTTTAAAAATAAGTTTTACTTTAAAGATAATAATACACTCAAATTCTTGTTAAAATCAACAGTAACATAGAAACTAACAATACTAATACCTGTCACAAACTGATCACATGCCTTTGTAAGAGACACTGTTCTCAATAACCTATATAAACAAACATGAAGGCTGAGCATGGTGGCTCACACCTGTAATCTCAGCACTTTTGGAGGCCGAGGAGGATGGATCACTTGGGGCCAGAAGCTGGAGATAAGCCTGGCCAACATGCTGACACAAGGTCTCTACCAAAAATACAAAAAGTTAGCCAGGTGTGGTGGTGCACACCTGTAATCCCAGCTACTTGGGAGGTTGAGGCAGGAGAATCCTTGAACCCAGGAAGCAGAGTTTGCAGTGAACCGAGATCATGCCATTGTGACAAAAGTAAAACTGCATCTCAAAAAATAATTTTTTATTCAGATGCATTCCTCCTCTTGCTTTATGAGGGCACCCTGTTCTGTAACTGAGTAGTCACTAATAAACTCTCTTAATGTCACTAGACTCTGTGACTCACCATAAATTCTTTCTCATGTGAGATCTACAAACCCATTTTTGGGGTCTGGGACAAGATCCCTTTTCTGGTGATAGAAATATACAATTTTTTTTTTTTTTTGAGAGGAAGGCTTGCTCTGTCACCCAGGCTAGAGTGCAATGGCATGATCTTGGTTCACTGTAACCTCTGCCTCCCAGGTTGAAGCAACTCTCCTGCCTCAGCCTCCCAAGGAGCTGAGATTACAGGTCCCTACCACCACCCCTGGCTAATTTTTGTATTTTTAGTAGAGATGGGGTTTTTCCACGTTAGCCAGGCTGGTCTTGAACTCCTGTTTTCAGGTTATCCACCTACCTTGGCCTCTGAAAGTGCTGGGTTTACAGGCATGAGCCACCACACCTGGCCCATAAAACTATACAAATTCTAGAAGAAAACACAGAAAGAAAACTATGTGAACTTGGGTTTGGTCACGAGTTTTAACACATGACATTGTCAGAAGCATCTGAACCATAGCGACTCCATCTTGAATAGCTGCTGGGTAAAATAAAGTTGAGACCTGCTGGGTTGCATTCCCAGGAGGTTAAGTATTCTTAGTCACAGGATGAGATAGGACATTGGCACAAGATATAGGTCACAAGGACCCTACTGTTAAAACAAGATGTGAAAAAAAAAAAGCAGTCCAAAACCAAGATGGCAATGAAAGTGACCTCTAGTCATCCTAACTGCTCCCTGTACACTAATTATAATGCACTAGTGTAACCACCCAGATGTTCACCTAGCCCTCTATCTAGGTAGAACCAATTCATCGAGACAGGAGAATTTCAATACAGAAAGAGTAATTCAAATGGAGCCAGCTGTGTGGGAGGGTGGAGTTTTATTATTATTCAAATCAGTCTCTCCCAAGCATTTGGGGAGAACTTTTTATTTTTGTTTTTGTTTTTTTTAAGATGGAGTGATGCTCTTGTCACTCATGCTAGAGTGCAATGGCATGATTTTGGCTCACCACAACCTCCTCGTCCTGGGTTGAAATGGTTCTCTTGCCTCAGCCTCCTGAGTAGCTGGGATTACAGGTGCATACTACCGTACCCAGCTAATTGTTGTATTTTTAGTAGAGATGGGATTTCACCATGTTTTCCAGGCTGGACTCGAATTCCTGACCTCAATTGATCTACCTGTCTCAACCTCCCAAACTGCTGAGATTACAGGTGTGAGCCAACTCATCCATCCAGGGAGCAGAGTTTTTAAGGGTAACTTGATGGGTAGGGGAAGCCAGTGAACCAAGAGTGCTGATTGATCAGAGATGAAATCACAAGGAGTCCAAGCTGTCTTCTTGAGCTGAGTCAGTTCCGGAGTGGGGACCACAAAATCAGATGAACACGTTTATTGAAGTGGGTGGTGTTAGCTGATCCATCAAGTGCAGGGTCTACAAAACATCTCAAGGACTGATCTTAGGAGCGGTTTAGGAGGGTCACAATCTTGTAGCCTCCAGCTGCATGACTCCTAAACCATAATTTCTAATTTTGAGGTTAATGTTAGTCCTACAAAGGCAATCTAGTCCCCAGGCAACAGAGAGGTCTGCTTTGGGAAATGACTGTTACCGTCTTTGTTTGAACTATAAATTAAGTTTCTCCCAAAGTTAGTTCATCTTACACCCAGGAATGACCAAGATAGCTTAGAGGTTAAAAGCAAGATGCAGTCAGTTAAGTTAGATTTCTTTCACTGTCCCAGTCATAATTTTGCAAAGACTGTTTCATTAGCATGCTAAAAGACATTTCCACCAGTGCCATGACCATTTACAAATGCCATGGCAATGTCCAGAAGTTATCCTATATGGCTTAAAAATGGGAGAAACCCTGAGTTCTTCGAATTGTCCATTCCTTTCCCAGAAAACTCATGAATAATCCACTCCCCACTCTCATTTAGTATATGAAGAAGAAAAGTTTATACTCTGTGAAAGATCCTTTTCAAAAAATAAAAAAGCTGACCAGACACAATGGCCCACACATGTAATCCCAGTACTTTAGGAGGCCTAGGCCAGAGGATCACCTGAGGCCAGGAGCTCCAGATACAGGGAAGTTCTAAAAACAGAGTAGAAGTTAACCTTTATAAAGGAAATTCACATCGATCAAGAAAATCCCCATTTTAACGGAGCCTCCCTCTCAGTTCCAAGAAGAGAATGATGACTAAATCAACAGAGGTTCTTATCAAGGGACTTCCAGAAATACCTTCACAAATACACCCAGAAATAGTGCTTTTCCAGTTATGCGAGTATCCCTTAATCCTGTCATGAGAACCCCTAAAATTAATCTTCACAGTATTTATGCCTAATTTGTGGCTAACATTTTATTTTTTAATTATTATTATTTTTTGAGAGAGAGTCTCACTCTGTCACCCAGCCAAAAGCAGGTTGTTAAAAAGAGTCTGGCTTTCTTGGTTTCTCCCTTGCTTTCTCTCTTGCCATGTGATCTCTCTCTGATGCACACTGGCTCCCCTTCTGCTTTCCACCATGTGTTGAAGCACAATAAAGTCCCATCAAATGCAGCTGCCCAATCTTCGACATTCCTGCCACCAGAATCATGAGCCAAATGAAATGAACTTTTTTCTTTATTATTATTATTATTTGGACAGGGTCTTGCTCTGTCACCCAGGCTGGAATGCAGTGGCACAATCACGGCTCACCGTAGCCTTGACCTCCTGGGCTCAAGCAATCCTCCCACCTCAGCCTCTTGAGGTTAGAACCATAGGCGAGCACCACCATGCCTGGCTAATTTTTTTAATTGTTTGTAGAGATGGGGTCTCCCAGTGCTACCCAGGCTGGTCTCAAACTCCTGGACTCAAGGGATCCTCCCATCTTAGCCTCACAGAGTGCCAAGACTACAGGTATGAGCCACCATGCCCTGCCATACATAAATTGTTTTTTTTTGTTTTTTGTTTTTTTGAGACAGAGTTTCACTCTTCTTGCCCAAGCTGGAGAGCAATGGTGTGATCTTGGCTCCCTGCAACCGCGACCTCCCAGGTTCGAGCAATTATCCTGCCACAGCCTCCTGAGTAGCTGGAATTACAGGTGCCTGCCACTATGCCAGGCTAATTTTTGTATTTTTAGTAGAGACAAGGTTTCACAATGTTGGCCAGGCCAGTCTTGAACTCCTGATCTCAGGTGATCATCCTGCCTCAGCCTCCCAAAGTGCTGGGAATACAGGCGTGAGTAACTGTGCCTGGCCCAGGTGTAAATTTTTAATGCCATTTTCTAACACAAGGAATCAGGGCTCTCTGAAGAAATGGCCAATACTGGGACTGGGACAGTAAATATATGATCCAGGATAACTGACATATCAGAATAGAAGAAAGTACTTGAAAAATATAAAATATATCAAAAGGAAAACAGGAACCAATGGAAAGAGCTCCCAATGGCCAAAGTAGAAATAAATTGAGCAAAAAAATACTGCAGTATTAAATAACCAAAGCTTAAAGTAACTGTCGGTGCCCACATTTATACAAATAAATGCGTAAGCAAATAAAGTTGAATAGAAATCTCCTTTACAAAAGAATTCAAAATAATTGACTCAGACACTCAGCCATCGAGAAGGTGGAGCTAATATCCCACTCCTTAAATGGGGACTGTGCATAGTGACTTCTTCCAGAAGAATACAAAAAATATGGACAAGTAACCTCACAGTAGAGAAACTTGACAAAAACTAATTCAGCCAGGTGATCACAGTTAATATCACTGATGATAATTCACCTTGAGGGCATGAAGTGACAATAATAGCACTTCACCTCTGTGATCTCCTTCCCTCAAACCCACAACATCAGTAAACTTATCAGAAAAGCACCAGATAAATAACAATGGGAGACCCTCTACAAAATGTCTGACCAATCCTCCTTAACACTGTCAAGGTCATTGGAAGAAGGAAAGTCTGAGAAACCATCACAGCCAAGAAGAGCCTAAGTAGTTGTGACAACTAATGTTATGTGAGATCCTTGATGGGAAAGACAGAACTCCTCCTCCCTGAAGGAGGGAAAGATAGAACTAAGGAAATCCAAATAAAACACAGGCCTCAGTTAGTAATAGCATGTCAATATTTGTACATTCACTGTGACAAATAACGTGAGACATACTGATAGAAGATGTTAATAAGAGAGGATACTGCATTGCAGCTACGTGGGAAATCTGTGTTTTCTTTGCTATTTCTGTGTAAATCTAAAACTACTCTAAAAACTTACTTTAAAAAGTGTTACAGGTTTTCAAACACATACTTATTTGTACTATTACTAGTAATTGACCCTGTTAACTATTCCTTTTTAATAAGAGCATTTATGACACAAAAATTAAATCATATAGACTAATATATAATTCCAAATAAATGCCTCTTTACATGTTTTATATTAAAATAATAACATATCTATATAAACTAACAATATATTTTTTTCTGGTATTGTGATTGTGTCTTGGGTTCACTCTCTAAAAAGGTGGGGCTCTTTTAGACAACCAGAAAAATATTCATTTTAAAGACTCTATTTCAATTCATGGTTGAACATTGTCAAAAGAATGACTGTAAAAAAAAAGTTTCTTAGTATTCAAGACTTTTTTAAAAAAGAAAATGTTTCAACAGCAAATCGATTCCCTGTGACTGGATCACTTACTCCAAAATATCCCTACCTTTGTTTTCCATGTATGCTATTTTGTAATAATGTAACTGCAATATTGGTCACCATGAAAAAATATTCAAAGAAAGAAAGAACGTGAACAGAATTTGTAACCACAATAATTTAATGTTTCATTGTGATGCTTTCTAAAACAGAAAAGTTTAAGAATATTCAAAGCCAATTTCCTCAATGATACTTTGCAGAAAGTGATGAAATTAGAGAAACAAAAACTGCAGAATATTCTGAGTGATTTTAAATGTTGCTATGTTTTATGGAAAAAAAAGTTACCTTTTAGAGGATCACAGATAATTATTGGAAGCCCAAACTCTGAAATGTTTCAAAATTTAGTTGAACTTGTAATTATAATGTTAATATAGCTAGTCATGAAGCTAATGATAAAAAGGATCTGTGCTTTAATAAAATATGCAATGAATGATTAATGCTCTTAGGAAAATACGTTAGACTTTAATTGAGAGTGTCAGAATCAAAATATATTTGATCATGTAATAGAAGTAGCCCATCATGAATGTATCATATGAGTGTATATCATAAAGTATGTTCACATTAAATATACTGTCAAACCAATGGGAGAAAGCTGTATTGCCTTTGTTAAAAGGAAAGATTAATGGAGACAGTCTAGCTTGGGGAATTATTAAGTGGGAAACATGCAATGCTGAGATAAGAATGTCCTGGACAGGGATGTAACAGTGAACAACTCTGGCAGGTATAGGAAAGGGTCGAAAACATCATATCCCCTCCCCAGAGTCTCAAGCTAAATCTGCACTTTGTTCAGCTCACAATCTTTACATATTTTTGTATTAATATTTGGTATATGTTATTTTGTGTGGAGAGGTATAAACAATATATTTAAACTTAACGTTTCTAGTTATCATGTGGCCTACTGTTAAATATATCCAAACTGTTTCAACTACTTTAATGCCGTGAGACAAATAAGCTTTCAAAACACGAGTGAAAGTGTTTGTGACCCCGCAGCACCTGCAGGCCCCAGCCACCACCCAGCCCCACGCCCATCCTGATGGCACTGCTCAGTGTCACTCCTTTCTAGCACCACAATCTCTCCCCAGAAACAAGCCCGGATCTGTAAGACAAGCTGCACTCAGCTGTCGACACGCAGTCAATGTCGGGCAGAAGGGACACCATTTTACAATAGGCTGCGTAGACCATGACAGGGAAGTAAGGCCCATGGCAGTGCTCCCTCCTCAGCAGTTGTGGCTGCTGACAGGAAGCATTTTCCTCCTTCCCTCGCCTGATGACTGACTGTCCTGAACCACGGCCTCTCCCGGGGTGCAGGTTCTGAGGAGAAGGAGTCTCCTTCCTCAGGGTTGAAGCCCCAAGGCACGAGTGAGGAATCCACTGTGGTTCCTGTGCACATTCCTGGTTTGGCAGGAGCTGGGCGCCCCCTGGTGGAAGCCCTGGGGAATCTCGGAAAATCAGTGTTCAGGTTATCTCAGGCTGTGATTTTCGAAATTTCAACTGAAATTGAGCCCACCATCCCATGCCTTGATTGGAACAGATGGAATTTTTTTTTTTTTTTTGAAACAGAGTCTTGCTCTGTTGCCCAGGCTGGAGTGCAGTGGCATGATCTCAGCTCACTGCAACCTGCACCTCCCAGGTTTAAGCGATCCTTCTGCCTCAGCCCCCTAGTAGCTGGGATTACAGGCACATGCAACCATTTCCTGCTAATTTTTGTATTTTTAGTAGAGATGAGGTTTTGCCATGTTGGCCAGACTGGTCTCAAAACTCCTGATCTCAGGTGATCCACCCACCTCGGCCTCCCAAAGTCCTGGGATTACAGGTGTGAACCGCCATGCCTGGCCAAAACGGAGATTTTTAAAACTAAAAAAGATGTCCAGTAGGCAAAAGTCAGTTGCGTTTCTTCGTGTCAGCAATAACGAATGGAAATAATTGGAACCGGAAATATTAAAATGCCATTTACAATAGCACCTCTGAAGTTGAATCCATTAAGTATGAATGTAACAAAATGTATGCAAATATGCATTCAGAAAACCAATGAATCACAGCTGAAACCAAAAGAAATACAAATAAGTGAAGTTCCTTAACCCTAACCCTAACCCCAACCCCAACCGTAACCCCTAACCCCAACCCTAACCCTAACACTAACCCCTAATCCTAACCCTACTCTGATTACCCTTATCTCTAAAGCTAACCTTATGGTAACCCTCAACCATAATTTCTAACTTTACTTTTACCCACTCTAATTCTAAGTTTAATCTAAACCTATTCAAACCTTTACTGTAACCCTAATCCTAAACCTCACTACGATTTCACCCTAACTCTTCACTGTAATCCTGACCTCTCAATCTAACCCTGGTTACTCACCTGATCTCTCCCTCTAATGTCTTACTATGCAGCTCCCAACCACCAACCTGAATCTCCTACTTGAAGCCCTTATGCCATAATCTTCAATTGGCAAACTCTGAACCCTTCAGCCCATATCTCTTGATTTTATAATATCCAGACACACTAACACTGTAAATACTAACTGCAGTCTATACACAGTCTCATTCTGATCTCTCCTACTCAGTACTATGCCACTTCAAGGACTGATCTATAACCTCAGAAATATAGACTTAATAATCTTCAACAAAATAGTAGCATATTAAAACCAACAGCATTCTGAAGGGCTCAAACATTATGAACACGATTTTTTATCCTAGTAAATCAACAGTGGTTCCACACATTAATGCTATACATGTAACAAACAGTATTGTTAGAATGAATGGAAAATACCCCATAATTTTCTCAGCTATTAAACAAAGGGCTTTCAATAAAGCTGGAATTACAGCCATATGCCACCAAGCCCAGCTAAATTTGTATTTTTAGTAGAGACAGGTTTTCACCATGTTGGCCAGGCTAGTCTCCAGTTCCTGACCTCAGGTGATCTGTCTGCCTTGGCCTCTAAAAGTGCTGGGATTACAGATGTGAGCCACTGTGCCTGTCCAAAAAAATCCACTTTATACATATACACTAGCAATGGATAATCTGAAAACAAAATTGTAAAAATTTCATTTTAAATAATACCAATGGCAATAATATGCTTAGCAATAAATGTAATCAAAGGGTAAGACTTAAAAGGGGGAAATTATAAGACACTGCTTAAGGAAATTAAAGCCCAAATAAATGTAAAAACATGTCACGTTCATGGATTTGAAGACCATATTTGTTAAGTTTGCCAAACTACACAAAGCAATCTACAGATTCAAATGTTTTTCTTATGAAAATCCCAAAGGCCTTGGGATGGAAATGGGAAAGCTGATCCTAATGTTTATATGAAATTTCAAGGAACCCTGAAAAGCCAAACCAATCCTGAAAAATAACTCCAAATCTGGAGGTTAGCCAGGCACGGTGGTGGGCACCTGTAACCCCAGCTACTTGGGGGGCTGAGGCAAAAGAATTGCCTGAACACAGGAGGCAGAGGTTGCAGTGGGCTGAGATCATGCCATTGCACTCCAGCCTGAATGAGAGCGAGACGCTGTGTTAAAACACACACACGCGTGTGCGCACACACACACACACACCAAAAATATACAGATAGCAAATAATTACACAAAAGGATGTTCAACATCATGTCTCATTAGGAGACTGCAAATCAAAATAATGCTGAGATACCACTGCACACCTAGTAGAACTGTAAGACTCTAAGAAAAGCTCAACAATAACAACTGGAGGTTGAAGAACAATAGGTACTATCATTCACTGTTAGCAGAATGCATTAATTGTACAGCCACTTTGGGAGATAGCTTGGCAGTTTTTCCCCAAAATAAACAAGTCTTACCTACAATCCAACAAATACATCCCTAAAATGTATATGTTTAGACAGATGCTTTGAAAAATTATTTTCAAACAAAAACTGGCATAATCAACTTGAAGTACAACAGTGCAATGGAATACCATTCAGCAACAAAAAGGAATGAACTTTCAACCCATGAAAATAAATGAATGAATTTTGCATGTATGTTGCTAAGTGAAGGGTGGCAGCACGAAGACGCTATACATTATATGACTCCATTCATGTGACATTCTGGAAAAAGGTACAACTATAGAGATGATAATCAGATGAGTGACTGGGGTGGGGATTTGAAGTATTCTGGTACTTTAGTGGTAGATATCTGACACTATGTATATATTTAAAGCCACAGAATTTTAAAGCACAAAGAACAAATCACAATCTATACAAATTAAATTATTTAGGTTATGTAAGTATCTAAGGACAAAATACAGAGTGCAACTAAGAATCTAATTGTATTACCAATGTATGTTGCAAATGGTGGGCCAAAGGTACTGACCTAAGTAAGTCATTTTGGAAACGAGTAGAATCCATAGACTAAAAGCAAAATGTACCATACACAAACAGTGGACTCTATTTTATAAAGTTACTTCCCATAGGGATAATAGTTAATTTTGAAACCACTGTATCTGTAAAAAAAAAAAATAACCATGATTTTCCTCTATACTCTCAACACTTCACTTCTAACAGCAAATTGGGGTGGATGATGTTTCCCACATCAACCGATTTTCCAACTCTCTGGACAACAATTGGGTGACCTACAATTCAATTAATTACTGAAGTTTGTACAGACCCTACAGGTTAAGGGCTTAGTAACACCAGACTGTCCTCAACTTCAGATGCCAATCAAAAGTAGTGAATCTCCAGTTTACCCAAATTTCTATGACTTGGCTAGAAACTATGCACTCCTACACCCCCTCCTCAGGTTTGGTAATTTGCTATAATGGCTTACGGAACTCAGGGAAACACTTATTTATGTTTACTAGTTAGTATGGTCTCTGTGTGTATACCCTCCAAATTCCTATGTTGAAAAGTAATCCCTAAAGGGATGGTATTCAGAGGTAACTGAGGGGTGATTGGATCATGAGGGTGCTGCCCTCATGAATGAAACCAGCACCCTTATAAAATAATTGGAGCCTTTTCCCCCCAATTCTGCCATGTCAGGACATGGCTAGAAGGCACTATCTATGAAAGATGAGCCCTCACTAGACATCAAATCTGTCAGACTTGATCTGGGACTTTCCAGATTCCATATTTTAGGAATTTTTATGAAAGCTTCATCATGTATACATGATCGACTATTAACTATTAACTCAATCTCCAGTCCCTTCACAGCCTCAAAGGATTGCATGTGAAGCTAAAAGTTACAAGCTTCTTATCATGGCTTGGTCTTTCTGGTGACCATCCCCCAACCTAAAACCATCCAGGAACACACAGAGGGTCCTTACAGAAGACATTCCTATCACTCAGGAGATTCCAAGGAATTTAGGAATTCCACGTCAGGAACCGGGGCCAAAGACCAAATGTTAGAGCGCAAGATGTTCCTAGCACCCCTATTTTTCAGGAAATTATAAAACTTTTAGGAGCTCTGTGCTACGAACTGGAGACAGAGACCAAATATATTTCTCATTAAATCCCAACCTGGAATCTGGTTCAAGAATGAATTCCTTGTTCCCAATGGAACAAGGTATGAAATAAATGGCAGATAGTGACAGCCAGGTTCCTTACTGTTAGAGTGAGAAGGTACAGATAAGAAACATGGGAAGCCTGGAATGATCTCTATGATAATGTGTCAGAATATATACATATATATAAGTAGGTATAAACTCAGATTTAACATATATATATATATATATACACACACACACACACACACACACACACAGATGGTTCCATGTAGAAACCTGTATAATTAAGTGGGTACATATAAGTTAGAATACACACATATATTTGTTTGCACTGTCAGCTGTGAGGGTCATGATAACCGCATTTAGTAGCTAGATGTAAGTTTTTAATACTATTCTCTAACAAAGGAAATCAGGGGTCTTTGAAAAACTGGTTGAAACTAGGACTGGGACAGAAAATATATGAGCCAGGGTACTTTTGAAGTAACAGAAAGAAACTGTAAATAAATAAATACATGAAATTATGTCAAAGGAGCCAGTAGAAAGAGCTCCCAATGACCACAGGGTATAAACAAAGAGCAACAAAATACTGCAGAATTGGATAACAACCAAAACATTAACTGAGTGTCCATACTGGTATCTATTTATGATTAAATTGATACATAAACGGCCTGAATAGAAATCTCTTATACAGAAGAATTCCAAATACCTTATATAGACACTCAGCCATCAAGGAGGTGGGGCTAACTCCCCACTCCTGAAGTGTGGGCTCTGCATGGTGACTTCCTCCAAAAGCATACATAAAATGTCGACATGGGAAAAAAGTAACTTCATAGTGAGAAATTTGAAAACATTATCTCAGCTAGGTGATCAAACTTAACATTAATGGTGATAACACATCTTGAGGCATGAAGTGACTAGAATAGTATCTGCAAACCAAAAATAAAATTCAAAGGCCCTCCCCCCAACCATCTGTATAGACTCCCTCCTCTCTACCAGGGAACACCAAAGTTAACCTGGAAGACTCGTTCAGGCCTTGATGGGAAAGGGGTGGTCAGACATGTCTCATTATTCCCTCCTCCCTTTTGGAATTCAAGAAAAGCCAATCAGCATTTAGTTTATCAGACCTTAAATCTGATAAGAAACATTTACAATCTAACCTTAAATCTGCTAAGAAATATTTAAAATCTATTCTCTGTGAAGCCTGCTACCTGGAGGCTTCATCTGCATAAAACTTTGGTGTCCATAACCCCTTATCATAATCCAGACACTCCTTTCTATTGATAGTAAGTCTTTCAACCAACTGCCAATAAGAAAATGTTTAAATCTACCTATAACCTGGAAGCCTCACCCCACCCTAACCCACTGCATTGTCCTACCTTTCTGGACCGAACCAGTATATATCTTAAATACATTTGATTGATGGTTCCTATCTCCCTAAAATGTATAGAACCAAGCTACACCCCAACCACCTTGAACACATGTTCTCAGGGTCTCCTGAGGGCTGTGTAATAGGCCATGGTCACTCATATTTGGCTCAGGATACATCTCTTCAAATATTTTACAGACTTTGACTCTTTTTGTTGAGACACTACATATCTGATATGCTTCCCCCAAACCCATAACCACAGTCTAATTATGAAAAAAATCACCAAGTGAACCACAAAGGAGGACATTCTACACGATACCTGACCAAACCTCCTAACACTGTTCCAGCTCCTCGGAAGGAAAGTCTGTGAGACTGTCACAGTCAGGAAGGGCCTGACATGATGACTAAATATCCTGGGGAATCCTAGATAGAATCCTGGGACAGAAAAAGGCAGGACTAAGGGAAACCAAATAAAATGTGAGCTTATTTAATAATAATATCAAAATATCCAGTCACTAACTGTGAAAAATAATGCAAGATGTTGGCCAGGCATAGTGGGTCACACCTGTAATCCCAGCATTTTGGGAGGCTGAGGCAGGAGGATCACCTGAGGTCAGGGGTTCCGGACCAACCTGGCCAACATGGTGGAACCCTATCTCTACTAAAAATAAAAAAATTACCCAGGTGTGATGACAGGCACCTGTAATCCCAGCTATTCAGGAGGCTGAGGCAGGAGAGTCATTTGAACCCAGAAGGCAGAGGTTGCAGTGACCTGAGATCACACCACTGCACTCCAACCTGGGCTAGCGAGACTCCATCTGAAAAAAAAAAAAAGAAATCTGCATTTTCTTCCCAATTTCTGTGTGAATCTAAAACTAATTTAAAATAAAATCTTTATTAAAAAATATTTTTTCCAAATATCTTAATTATTTGTACTAGTAAGTAGTGATACTAACTACTCTTACTTTTAAAAAAAGAGCATTCATGATGCTGCAAAGTAAATTATGCAAACTAATAATTTCAATAAATGCCTTTTATGTGTTTTATGTTAAAATAACACATACATGTAAACATACTTATATCTTTTTTCTTGTAGTGTGGTTCACTCTCTAGGAAAGCTGGTCACCTTCAAACCAGGGAAAAAATTCACATTTTGGAGACTATTTCAATTTACAGCTGGACGTTTTCAAAAGTACGACTTTGTAAAAAAAAAAAAGTTCACATAGCAAATTGTGACTGGATCACTTATTCTAATGAATGCTTGTCTTTATTTTGTCTCCCATCATTCCTTTTAGCTATAATACAACAGAAGCAAATATTTCCAACTGAAAAAAATATTCAAAGACAGGAAGAATGTAAACACAGTTTGTGACCACAATCATTCAATGTTTCATCAGGATGCCTTCTAATACAGAAGAGTTTAAAGGGATAGTCAAAGCTAGTCCCCCAAAGATGCTTTGCAGAAATTGATGAAACTAGAGAAACAAAAGTGGCGGGACATTCAATGTGACTTTAGATGTCACTGTGTCTTGTGGGAAAAAATAATTTACCTTTCAGAAGATCACAAAAAAATACTGGAAGCCCAGACTCTGGAACTTTCTAAATTTAGATGTCAATACACCTAGTAATGAGTATAATGATAAAAAGGGATCTGTGCTTTATTTGTGTAATAAAATATCAAAGCAGTATTTAATGCTCCAAGGAAAACAAGTTATGCCTGAAATACAGTTGACAATATCAAAATCAAAATATGCTTCCTGGCCAGGTATGGTGGCTCACGCCTGTAATATCAGCACTTTGGGAGGCCGAGGCAGGCAGATCACCAGAGGTCAGGAGTTCGAGACCAGCCTGACAAACACTGAGGAACCCAGTATCTACTAAAAATACAAAAATTAGCCAGGCGTGGTGGTGCATGTCTGTAATCCCAGCTGCTCAGAAGGCTGACGCAACAGAATT